AAGCTATTTGACGGCTTCAGTGAGGCCATCAGATGTCGTTCCCCCTGCGAAATGAGGGGGGAACACTATTTGACGGCTTCAGTGAGGCCATCAGATATTGTTGCCCCTGCGAAATGAAGGGGGAAACGCTATTTGACGGCTTCAGTGAGGCCATCACATGTCGTTCCCCCTGCGAAATGAAGGGGGAAACGCTATTTGATGGCTTCACTGAGGCCATCAGATGTCGTTCCCCCACGAAATGAGGGGGAAAGCTATTTGACGGCTTCAGTGAGGCCATCAGATGTCGTTCCCCCTGCGAAATGAGGGGGGAACACTATTTGACGGCTTCAGTGAGGCCATCAGATACTGTTCCCTCTGCGAAATGAAGGGGAAATGCTATTTGACAGCTTCAGTGAGGCCATCAGATGTCGTTCCCCCTGCGAAATAAAGGGGAAACGCTATTTGACGACTTCAGCTAGGTCATCAGATGTCGTTCCTCCTGCTAAATGAAGGGGAAACGCTATTTGATGGCTTCAGTGAGGCCATCAGATACTGTTCCCCCTGCGAAATGAAGGGGAAATGCTTTTTGATGGCTTCAGTGAGGCCATCACATGTCGTTCCCCCTGCGAAATAAAGGGGAAACGCTATTTGACAGCTTCAATGAGGCCATCAGATGTCGTTTCCCCTGCGAAATGAGGGGGGAACACTATTTGACGCTTCAGTGAGGCCATCAGATATTGTTCCCCCTGCGAAATGAAGGGGGAAATGCTATTTGACGGCTTCAGTGAGGCCATCAGATGTTGTTCCCCCACGAAATGAGGGGGAAATGCTATTTGACGGCTTCAGTGAGGCCATCACATGTCGTTCCCCCTGCGAAATAAAGGGGAAATGCTATTTGACAGCTTCAATGAGGCCATCAGATGTCGTTTCCCCTGCGAAATGAGGGGGGAACACTATTTGACGCTTCAGTGAGGCCATCAGATGTTGTTCCCCCACGAAATGAGGGGGAAATGCTATTTTATGGCTTCAGTGAGGCCATCACATGTCGTTCCCCCTGCGAAATGAGGGGGGACTGCTATTTGACGGCTTCAGTGAGGCCATCAGATGTCGTTCCTTCGCTATTTGATGGCTTCAGTGAGGCCATCAGATGTTGTTCCCCCTGCCAAATGAGGGGGAACACTATTTGACGGCTTCAGTGAGGCCATCAGATGTCGTTCCTCCTGCTAAATGAAGGGGAAACGCTATTTGATGGCTTCAGTGAGGCCATCAGATGTCGTTCCCCCTGCGAAATAAAGGGGAAACGCTATTTGACGACTTCAGCTAGGTCATCAGATGTCGTTCCTCCTGCTAAATGAAGGGGAAACGCTATTTGATGGCTTCAGTGAGGCCATCAGATACTGTTCCCCCTGCGAAATGAAGGGGAAATGCTATTTGACGGCTTCAGTGAGGCCATCACATGTCGTTCCCCCTGCGAAATAAAGGGGAAACGCTATTTGACAGCTTCAATGAGGCCATCAGATGTCGTTTCCCCTGCGAAATGAGGGGGGAACACTATTTGACGCTTCAGTGAGGCCATCAGATATTGTTCCCCCTGCGAAATGAAGGGGGAAATGCTATTTGACGGCTTCAGTGAGGCCATCAGATGTTGTTCCCCCACGAAATGAAGGGGGAAATGCTATTTTACGGCTTCAGTGAGGCCATTAGATGTCGTTCCTCCTGCGAAATGAAGGGGAAACGCTATTTGACGGCTTCAGTGAGGCCATCAGATGTCGTTCCTTTGCTATTTGATGGCTTCACTGAGGCCATCAGATGTTGTTCCCCCTGCCAAATGAGGGGGGAACACTATTTGACGGCTTCAGTGAGGCCATCAGATATTGTTGCCCCTGCGAAATGAAGGGGGAAATGCTATTTGACGGCTTCAGTGAGGCCATCAGATGTCGTTCCTTCGCTATTTGATGGCTTCACTGAGGCCATCAGATGTCGTTCCCCCACGAAATGAGGGGGAAATACTATTTTACGGCTTCAGTGAGGCCATCACATGTCGTTCCCCCTGCGAAATGAGGGGGGACTGCTATTTGACGGCTTCAGTGAGGTCATCACATGTCGTTCCCCCTGCGAAATGAGGGGGGACTGCTATTTGACGGCTTCAGTGAGGCCATCAGATGTCGTTCCTTCGCTATTTGATGGCTTCACTGAGGCCATCAGATGTCGTTCCCCCTGCCAAATGAGGGGGGAACACTATTTGACGGCTTCAGTGAGGCCATCAGATGTTGTTCCCCCACAAAATGAGGGGGAAACGCTATTTGACGGCTTCAGTGAGGCCATCACATGTCGTTCCCCCTGCGAAATGAGGGGGAAACGCTATTTGACGGCTTCAGTGAGGCCATCAGATGTTGTTACCCCACGAAATGAGGGGGAAACGCTATTTGATGGCTTCAGTGAGGCCATCAGATGTCGTTCCCCCTGCGAAATGAAGGGGAAACGCTATTTGACGGCTTCAGTGAAGCCATCAGATGTCGTTCCCTCGCTATTTGATGGCTTCACTGAGGCCATCAGATGTTGTTCCGCCTGCCAAATGAGGGGGGAACACTATTTGACGGCTTCAGTGAGGCCATCAGATATTGTTGCCCCTGCGAAATGAAGGGGGAAATGCTATTTGACGGCTTCAGTGAGGCCATCAGATGTCGTTCCTTCGCTATTTGATGGCTTCACTGAGGCCATCAGATGTCGTTCCCCCACAAAATGAGGGGGAAATACTATTTTACGGCTTCAGTGAGGCCATCACATGTCGTTCCCCCTGCGAAATGAGGGGGGACTGCTATTTGACGGCTTCAGTGAGGCCATCACATGTCGTTCCCCCTGCGAAATGAGGGGGGACTGCTATTTGACGGCTTCAGTGAGGCCATTAGATGTCGTTCCTCCTGTGAAATGAAGGGGAAACGCTATTTGACGGCTTCAGTGAGGCCATCAGATGTCGTTCCTTCGCTATTTGATGGCTTCACTGAGGCCATCAGATGTCGTTCCCCCTGCCAAATGAGGGGGGAACACTATTTGACGGCTTCAGTGAGGCCATCAGATATTGTTGCCCCTGCGAAATGAAGGGGGAAATGCTATTTGACGGCTTCAGTGAGGCCATCAGATGTCGTTCCTTCGCTATTTGATGGCTTCACTGAGGCCATCAGATGTCGTTCCCCCACGAAATGAGGGGGAAAGCTATTTGACGGCTTCAGTGAGGCCATCAGATGTCGTTCCCCCTGCGAAATGAGGGGGGAACACTATTTGACGGCTTCAGTGAGGCCATCAGATATTGTTGCCCCTGCGAAATGAAGGGGGAAACGCTATTTGACGGCTTCAGTGAGGCCATCACATGTCGTTCCCCCTGCGAAATGAAGGGGGAAACGCTATTTGATGGCTTCACTGAGGCCATCAGATGTCGTTCCCCCACGAAATGAGGGGGAAAGCTATTTGACGGCTTCAGTGAGGCCATCAGATGTCGTTCCCCCTGCGAAATGAAGGGGGAACACTATTTGACGGCTTCAGTGAGGCCATCAGATATTGTTGCCCCTGCGAAATGAAGGGGAAACGCTATTTGACGGCTTCACTGAGGCCATCAGATGTCGTTCCCCCTGCCAAATGAGGGGGAAAGCTATTTGACGGCTTCAGTGAGGCCCTCAGATGTCGTTCCCCCTGCGAAATGAGGGGGGAACACTATTTGACGGCTTCAGTGAGGCCATCAGATATTGTTGCCCCTGCGAAATGAAGGGGGAAATGCTATTTGACGGCTTCAGTGAGGCCATCAGATGTTGTTCCCCCACAAAATGAGGGGGGAAACGCTATTTGACGGCTTCAGTGAGGCCATCACATGTCGTTCCCCCTGCGAAATGAAGGGGAAACGCTATTTGACGGCTTCAGTGAGGCCATCACATGTCGTTCCCCCTGCGAAATGAAGGGGAAACGCTATTTGACGGCTTCAGTGAGGCCATCAGATGTCGTTCCCCCTGCAGAATGAAGGAGAAACGCTATTTGACGGCTTCAGTGAGGCCATCAGATGTCGTTCCCCCTGCGAAATGAGGGGGGAACACTATTTGACGGCTTCAGTGAGGCCATCAGATGTTGTTACCCCACGAAATGAGGGGGAAACGCTATTTGATGGCTTCAGTGAGGCCATCAGATGTCGTTCCCCCTGCGAAATGAGGGGGGAACACTATTTGACGGCTTCAGTGAGGCCATCAGATGTCGTTCCCCCTGCGAAATGAGGGGGGAACACTATTTGACGGCTTCAGTGAGGCCATCAGATGTTGTTACCCCACGAAATGAGGGGGAAACGCTATTTGATGGCTTCAGTGAGGCCATCAGATGTCGTTCCCCCTGCGAAATGAAGGGGAAATGCTATTTGACGGCTTCAGTGAGGCCATCAGATGTCGTTCCCCCTGCGAAATGAAGGGGAAACGCTATTTGACGGCTTCAGTGAAGCCAGATGTCGTTCCCTCGCTATTTGATGGCTTCACTGAGGCCACACTCACAGAAATATTTAACCCTAAAACTTAAGATTTATGTAATTTTTTTACATGACAAATTCCCATTTACTTTTTTTTAGGTAATTTTTAGACAAACCTACCAAATAAACTTTACATAATGCATATTCATTAGTGTAATAAAGCCTATTTAATTGAAATGCATAATGCTCGTTTATGTATTTACTATTAATAAAGTATAATTACTCTAAATTAATAATAAGGAGGGTATTTATTTCAAATACATAAATAATATTGTTTGAATTGCATAAAAATTTGGTTACCTATGCCAGATAAATAGCATATATTTATTTGAATTACATGCCATTTATGCTTATGTAATCAACCACACCATTCAAAATGCATCATATTTATTTAATTATTTTTCATTTAGTACAATGATGTACAATGATTAGCATTAAAGCCTCTCAACATCCATGACATGAAACTCAAAAGGACAGAACGTATCCTTGTGGTCCACTTTGTACATGTATTAATCAAAAAAAATAAATTCAAACACTTCCATCTTTCTAATACATCTCACTCCTCTCCATTGCCCCTCATCCATATTTTTCTCCATCCAGAGTACTACACGAGCGACTAAACTGTAGAAATAACCTAATGAATTAAACATGAGGAAAAAAATACTAACAAGTTAAAAAAAATCTAGAAAATGTCAGGTAATTCAGCTCATCAGAGCAAAGTGCTAAACTGCCCATCCACACCACACATACTCTCTACTTGTGGCCTTTCAGTCTGTTCAGTTTTGTTTAGCTGCTTTGTTTTGTATGTTGCAATAATACAACATATGGCCTTATTATGAATGTACACGTCAAGCTTTTATTTAAATACATAACGAAAACGTCAATTGAAGCTACACCCTATATCTTAAAGTGATTTTTCCATCATAACTACGTTTGACAGGTTTACATTCAAAATAAGTCCCTATGTTTAACTATGGCCATAGTTTCCATTATATTAGAAAAACAGGCGTTGGTATGAACTGAAGCACTTTTTTAGAACAAATATCTTTTTGAACACTTAACTAGCGTCTACTGAATTTATAAACAATTAAAAAAAATCTGGTTTGAGTTTTGGGAACAACATTGCCTGCCAACTCACTTTAGAAACTACCCATCTATGAACCCACCTACAAAGCCAAACTGATACATTTCCCTGATAAAGGCTTGGAGACAAAAAGAAAAACCAAACTTTACAGACACACAATAATCAAACAGGAATTTTCCTGACACACCCTTTAAGAACTAAGGGATTCAATTCAGCACAAGATCCAGTCTGACTGGGAAATAACATGAGACACATTATGTAGGGGCTGTGTAAGTGCATTACCGTCAGCCATATCACTGGAGCAATTTGAGTTTCAGTGCCTGCACTTTTGGTGACAGTTTGGTTGAGTCCAGGTCCATCAGGATTTTCTGGTACACCTCGAATGTACGCTTCAGGTTTTTTGGATAGCTCAAGTTGAGTGCATAGATCAGTCCATAAAGCATCACGCATGAATGGCTGACACTGCAGGCTATGGAGAACTTCCACGCCTTCCAGCACAACACCAACATCAGCAAAGCGTCCATCACCTGGACCATCAGGACCATGACCCTCTGCTCGGACTGTGTAGATGCCCATTGTCTTCTCTGTAATGTCTGCCTCAGCCTCTCTGGAATCAATGTCCTGAAACAAAAAGAACAGAACAATTAGTTGTGTGACCTTAACCTGGACTCCCAAAATGTAAGCAGATCATCCTTAGGCCAACTGAGTGTTAATTTGAAAATAAAGCACTGCATATATGCGTTCATGAGAATGAGATGGATGCAAGATCGTGGTAACAATGACCTTAAGACCTCTGATCACCACCTAAAAGCCTGGGGGAAAAAATAGTCATAAGGATGCATTTAGTGTTGACTATTCACACCCCAACTCTCAAACTGTGCCATTTTTTCCATCAGGGTGACAACAATTAAAATCTGAGACAAATCCTTTGAAGTAGTACTCTTGTTCTCACATGTTTATGGGTTGATTCTCTGCTGAGGGTAAGGTTCTGCACTTCGTTAAGACAGAGGGATTTCCGGGGACACTGCTCTTTTCCCAATGAACCCTTTGACCTGCCATAAAAAAATCAGTCAATAAAACACAAACTAAAAATGCATAGAGATATGAAAATACAGAACCAAGAACCCTCACTGATTTTGTTCAGAGATCAGTGATATAAATACGGAGCCAGTGGCTGTAAGACCCAAACAGGAACTGGTTGTTGATGCTGGGAAAATGGACTGAAGGAGGCAAACCTTTCCAACATCCTCACCCTTTTGCTGTAGCCCCTGCTATTTCTATTTACCTCCTTTCTCTTCTAGCTGTTTTAGGGATACGGTTTCTCTATCTTTCTCTCTCTCTCCCTCCTTCTCCTCCTCCTCAATTGGAATAATGCACGTGAAACAAATCATGCTTCCTACTACACTACATTATGACTTACCTCTTGACTTCTGACTTTGGCTTTACTGACTGCCTTAGATCCTCAGATGCCTTTTGAAAGAGAAAAACTATTATTCCATTGTTTCTCTCCACAGACAGCAAGGTATGCTAATGGTGGAAGACAGAAATTACATTATCTTTCTAAACTACATTGAAGAAAAAAATTAAAATAACCCATTAAGACTTAATTTGACACCTTTATAAAATCCCATTCTCAATGTATTTGTGAAGTTACTATTGAGATAAGTGAGTATGACAGAAGTAAAGATACAGAAGGAGAGAGGGAGAGGACAGTAGGGGACAACAGTGAAAGAACTGGGGGGAGAGAAGAAGAGACACCAAGAGGAGTCGGGTGGAGACAAAACGTGTGAGGGGAAGACTGAGTTAAATGGAGAACGTCTGATCAGTCTTATACTTGTTAGAATTCCAATGAACATGTCCACATACTTCACATATCTTCAAAGAAGACAAGAAGGCTTCCTTCTGTATGATGTTCTCTAGACGCTGGAGTTCATAAGCAGACAGTCCACAGCATGTATCCTATGATACTCCCCAAACAAACACAGTAGTAACCAACTGATCACAACCAAGAATCAAAATGACCTGACATTATCTGAAAGGAATTTCTTGCTAAACACTTCCAAAAATCAATGTCAATACAATTAAAACTGCTGGGTCATAAGAACAGTCAAGCATCTGTGTCCTCACCTTGTTGTTTAGGTGAGAGATGTCATCCCTGGGGCGTATAGGTGCCAGGACCCATCCAACTTTATCCTCTCGACCAAGTGGATTTACTTCCTACAAAGGGAAAGTTCTACCACCACTTGCATTGGGGGAATTTTTTATTTTAAACAACCCAACTGACTCAATGATACTGTCGGTGGTCAAGGTCAATGTATCCCCATTTCCATCCCATTCTCATGAACGCCACATGTTTTCAGGTATGTCTAGATAGAAAAGAATTACATCTGGCCAAAAGCACAGCATGCATACCATGTGTTCTTTAACCAGTGTGTCCAGGTCTTCATTGAGGTAGATGCTGAGACAGCTCAGCACACAATCTCGCCTCACGTTGATGTCTTCATTCTGGGAAGGAAAAAAAAAGTTATAATTCCTTGCTTGTCAGTGTTGGAGATATAACACACAGGTGCTGAGGCTAACAAAGTCACTGACAGTTCCCCACTTGATCATCCCACATTGTTTTACTCTACTCTGCTGATGCTCACAAAGGTGTAAGCCCATTAAATAAACAGCTATTTTGAAAGGGGCCAGAAAAATATTTAACATAGGAACTGTCCTTTACAGCCGAGTCAAACAAACCATATCATATTAGAAAAATAAAAATAAAAACTTACATTATCCATCTGGGCCATTATGGCTGCCATCTTTCTTCCTGCTGCTCCACCTTTAGAATTAAAAACCTTCATCAGGTTGTCGGTCTGACGGTCCAGTTCTCCAAGGAATTTGGAGGTCAGAGGTATAGTTGTCAGTCGCATAAACTCCAAGTTAATCTGTAGAAGACAACACAGACAGGATAGAGATTTTAACAGTTTGTAAAATAGACCAAGTTATTACACTTCAGATTCACACTTACCTCACTGACATCAAACAGTGCTGGCCATCTGCTTTGGAACTCTGGAATTGGTGGCTCCTGGAGAACCTCCTGTTTCCTGATTGTCAAAGATCTGACTTTGTAGGCCTAATGACTTTTAATAAATGTAAATCATATCATGAATAATTTTAACATGCTTACTCTAAACATTTCAGCTTGATATTGTAAACCATTTTAACATCACATGAACTGTAAATTAATATAAACTTTAAAATGCTACATTTTGTTGTGTACAACTTTTAATTTATACTTACAAAATATATGCCACATGAAGGTGAGAACACGAGATTGGAGGAGAATGCAGAAAAAGAGTTAGCTATCTGAAAACAAAAACATAAGTGAAAAGAAAAAATAAGTTTAATTGCATAGTATGAATCACAGAAATGCCATATTTTGCATTAAAACTGCAAAATTCTGCCAAAAGGTAACAAGTCTGCTCCTTCCAAAACAACCCCACAAAGTTCTCAAATTTAACTTTAAGCAAACTGTAAGTTAATGCTACAGAGCAGAGGCTAACTTGTTACAAATTTAATAGGTTAAATGTTGTGGACAAAAATTATGTTTGCTTAACTAATGATTTTAATATTTGTCCTTTTAACCGCCATGATAACATGCCGGTTACAACTGTCAAGGGTTGTTGAATCCATTATTTATTTATGTATTTATTTATTTTTAACGTGTCCTGTCTGGCTGTGAAGCAAGCAGAATTGATGTCTGAATGCTGGTGACAAGCCTTACAGATTTATTCTCAGGTGGAGCATCAAAGCGTTTGCTTTAAATGTCACGCCTGATACTTATAACTTTATTGTTATTGTTGTTGAATGCTTTGTAATTCCGACCAGACACGGAGACAGAGGTGAAAGAGAAAGGAAAAGAAAAGGTGGGGAGAGGGGGGGGGGGGGGGGGTGTCCACAAAAATAAACAAAAATGAACAAGAGTCTGCTTCAGGACCTGCAGAAAAAAAAGACAAAACAAAAACAAAGGGACACAAAAAAGGGACACAACAACAATAAAACAAGATCTACCTATCACTGCGTCAACTTGATGAAAAGAAAAAAAATATATATAATCAACATTGCTTAACTGAAGAATCACGATAATAAATCACAACGCATTAAGTGCCCACCATAGTCTTAAGACCTGTGTTTAACGTGCCCAAGCCCATACTTTTGAGAGCACCATGTGAGCACCTGTGTGTGTACATGCGCTTGTTTATTTAAGGTTTTTCTATAGGAGCGCCCAACAGAGAGTGTGAGGGACCACCGATCCGCCCCCAAAGATGCGCAGGAGACGGAGGGAGCTCCAAGTCCCAGAGATCGAGGCGCTGCCCCGGAATGCAGGAACCCCAAGGAGACTGCAACCAGGAAGGCCCCCGCCCCCCTCGAGAGGCACAGAGGATCGCCCCAGGGGGCCACAACCAGCAGCCGGCAGAGTCCCTGGAGACATCAGCGGCAAGCCCACAGGCCCGCCCGCAGCCTCCCACCCCCTAGCCAGCCGAGCCCGGGACCCAGCGACCCAGGACCCAGGGGCGACCACCCCCGCCGGGGACCCAGCAGAGCCCAGGGACCCAGACCCCACCAGGCAGCCACAGGGATCTAACAGGCAGATGCCAAAATCTTAAAACCCCCAGACCCGGTTGCCACGAACACTCAGGCAGACCAAGGCACAAGCCCCCACACCAGGTGTGGCAGGGGGAGGGGGGACAGAGATCTATATCATCAAGAGAAGTTCCAGGAGAGGGGAGGACCCAAAGGCCCCACCTGACATATACAGTCATACACAAACACAGTCACACGCTCCCTCCCTCATTCTCACACATGCACATACAACCCAAGACTTACAAAAATGCACGCCGGACACCTACTCATGCTCCCCATACACACCCTATTCACTCTGGTCCCGGTACTGCTGCACATTGGGTACAACCATCACCGGTAACCAGAGTTTGACCCTTTCTGCTGGGGTGCTGATGAGCAGGCTCCCCCGCCCAACGCTGAGCACAGCAACCCACCACCCCAGACCCCAACCAGACGGCCAGACCTCCCTCCTAGCCTCCAGCCCCAGGAAGCCTAGCAACAACAGAGGTGGCTAAGACCTCTAGTCTCCCTCCGCCTGCTCCAATATAGTGTTGTGTGATCATGAGGTGTATTCCATGGCTGTGGTGAGTGGGCAGTGCGGGCATCATCCAGCATATGCCAGCTGATGCCACTGCACCATCCCACTTGGGGTGGTGCAGTGGCATAGTGGCATAGTGTTGAATCCATTATTAAGCTGGATAGCCAAGCTAGCGAAGATGCCGTGAAATAGCTAGCTTATTAGCTATAATGCTAGCGGGAAACAGCATTGTCCTGTAAAGCTACGTAGCCAGGATATAACTGCAAACAATAAACACAAACTACAAAATGTTATCACAAACGCAAGCACTCGACACCCTATGGCAAAAAAAAATCTTTATGTACATACAAGACACCCCTTAGAGAGAATGTTACACTTAAGGTGGAAATATACTTGCTTTTAACAACGCGTACGCGTACGTATCCTGGCTACCATGCGTAGTTTGCGTTCGTTTGATGCGTCGTTTGTGCACGTCCTCTGAAATCACAGAACGCTACGATGCTACTCCTGAGTGCGGGCGGGTGTGCAGAGGAAGTGCAAGACATTGTTTCCGGTTTCCCAAATTCACTTTTCATAACTTGTATTTAAACAAATCACATAAATTTTAAATAACAGAATCTTGTTTGTTTTACAGCCTTTTTTATTTAAACCATTTTACTAAGAAAAAACTAATTACATTTAATAATATAAAAAATTTATTACTTTCTGTAAACTATAATTAATTCTAATGCATACATTTAAATAATATGAGTTTTTATATATAATCAAATAAATAAAAATACATAAAAATCAACTCTGGCATGAATCATTTCTGTGAGTGTATCAGCTGTCGTTCCCCCTGCCAAATGAGGGGGAAAGCTATTTGACGGCTTCAGTGAGGCCATCAGATGTCATTCCCCCTGCGCAATGAAGGGGAATCGCTATTTGACGGCTTCAGTGAGGCCATCAGATACTGTTCCCTCTGCGAAATGAAGGGGAAATGCTATTTGACGGCTTCAGTGAGGCCATCAGATATTGTTCCCCCTGCGAAATGAAGGGGGAACACTATTTGACGGCTTCAGTGAGGCCATCAGATGTTGTTCCCCCACGAAATGAGGGGGAAACGCTATTTGACGGCTTCAGTGAGGCCATCACATGTCGTTCCCCCTGCGAAATGAGGGGGGACTGCTATTTGACGGCTTCAGTGAGGCCATTAGATGTCGTTCTCTCTGCGAAATGAGGGGGAAACACTATTTGACGGCTTCAGTGAGGCCATCAGATGTCGTTCTCCCTGCGAAATGAGGGGGAAATGCTATTTGACGGCTTCAGTGAGGCCATCAGATGTCGTTCTCCCTGTGAAATGAGGGGGAAACGCTATTTGACGGCTTCAATGAGGCCATCAGATGTCGTTCCCTCTGCGAAATGAGGGGGAAACGCTATTTGACGGCTTCAGTGAGGCCATCAGATGTCGTTCTCCCTGCGAAATGAAGGGGAAATGCTATTTGACGGCTTCAGTGAGGCCATCAGATGTTGTTCCCCCACGAAATGAGGGGGAAACGCTATTTGACGGCTTCAGTGAGGCCATCACATGTCGTTCCCCCTGCGAAATGAGGGGGGACTGCTATTTGACGGCTTCAGTGAGGCCATTAGATGTCGTTCTCTCTGCGAAATGAGGGGGAAACACTATTTGACGGCTTCAGTGAGGCCATCAGATGTCGTTCTCCCTGCGAAATGAGGGGGAAATGCTATTTGACGGCTTCAGTGAGGCCATCAGATGTCGTTCTCCCTGTGAAATGAGGGGGAAACGCTATTTGACGGCTTCAATGAGGCCATCAGATGTCGTTCCCTCTGCGAAATGAGGGGGAAACGCTATTTGACGGCTTCAGTGAGGCCATCAGATGTCGTTCTCCCTGCGAAATGAAGGGGAAATGCTATTTGACAGCTTCAATGAAGCCATCAGATGTTATTCCCCCGCGAAATGAAGGGAAAACGCTATTTGACGGCTTCAGTGAGGCCATCAGATAGTGGTCCCCCTGCGAAATTAGGGGGGAAAGCTATTTGACGGCTTCAGTGAGGCCATCACATGTTGTTCCCCCTGCGAAATGAGGGGGGAACACTATTTGACGGCTTCAGTGAGGCCATCAGATGTCGTTCTCCCTGCGAAATGAAGGGGAAATGCTATTTGACAGCTTCAATGAAGCCATCAGATGTTATTCCCCCGCGAAATGAAGGGAAATTGCTATTTGACAGCTTCAGTGAGGCCATCAGATGTCGTTCCCCCTGCGAAATGAGGGGGAAACGCTATTTGACGGCTTCAGTGAGGCCATCAAATATCATTCCCCCTGCGAAATGAGGGGGGAACACTATTTGACGGCTTCAGTGAGGCCATCAGATGTCGTTCCCCCTGCGAAATGAGGGGGGAACACTATTTGACGGCTTCAGTGAGGCCATCAGATGTCGTTCTCCCTGCGAAATGAAGGGGAAACACTATTTGACGGCTTCAGTGAGGCCATCAGATGTCGTTCTCCCTGCGAAATGAAGGGGAAATGCTATTTGACGGCTTCAATGAAGCCATCAGATGTCATTCCCTCTGTGAAATGTAGGGGAAGCTTATCTATCTATATATTAACCCTATAGGGTCCATGGACGTGTATACGCGTCTTTTGAACAGGTCTGATTTGGGACGCTGTAGCAGCAAGACTCCGCCTCCCTGAGTTTTGGTTTCAATTCAGCTTTAAAAAGGAGATTATAAACTACACCCCAGTTTTTAAATTTTGTTAATAGGCAACGTAAAAGCGGAGTTATAATAAACTAAAAAGCAACCTATTTTTAGACAATCTGATAACTTGTCAAAACAGCAGTTTAGTAATGCGTGAGAGGGAATGTGATTGTGAACATAAAAAAACCCCCACAAAAACATAAGATCCTTTTGCTGTTGGTGGAAGTCTCACATATTCAATTGATAAAAAGTATCATGATTTAGCTGAGAGAGAGAGGAAGGCCGAACAAGTAACGAGATGTGCGCAAAAGGGAGTCGCTTCGCGGGGAAAGGAGTGGCGCGAACGGAGTAACAACAAACAATTAGACAGATGTTGACGGTAAACTTCATATTTTGGAGCGATTCGGACAGATATATTGTTTCTCCAGTTTAGTAGGCTTTTATTAGGCTTTAATAAAGGATGATGAGAAGGATAAATGTCCACCAGGCAGTTCGGATAGTACGGCTGTTTTTTGAACTGGAAGCAGAGGAAGTGGACGGAGACTAACAGCCGGAGTCTAAGGCAAATAGCGAGGATGTTGATGACGATGTGGCAGATCCATCCTTCCTCATAGAAGAGTTGGGTCATGATGAGGTAGAGGATGAAGGCAGAGATCCAGCTCCTCGGAGATACAACAAGAGGAGTGGGCGGCGCTGCGCAGCTGTCAGATCTCGATCTCCGTGGCGTGAGACAGAGCCACTTCCCACTCCAAAATGCATGTACATTATTGCCAAATTTATAAAATAGGTATAAATTAAGATAGTCCAGGTTGTCCTGAAAAAATGATACCCCATAAGGCAATATTTATTGTTTGTATTAGAAAATACAAACCAAAATGAGACAAAAACGGTGATTTACACCCTGGACCCCAGAGGGTTACATAAATATTAACCTTTCTATCAAATAAATGTATCACAGAAGGAATACACAAGACATTCGCTGAATCAGGCTTTTTGAACCTTCATGGTTCCCGTAGTCTCCCTGTGCACGAGCAGAGCGTGCTAGTAATGTGTGTGAACGAGCTAACGTTAAGAAGCGCGGTTTTTCTTCTTGCCGCCTGGGTGGAGCCGAGCAGCGCTTTTGACGCTAGGGTGGAGCGGAGCTGTAGGGGAAACATTATTAGATGCGGGAGTGTGATTTGATGGTACACTGGCTCTGGACCAGGAATGAGCTCCCCTGCCCCGCTGGGATTAAAAAACACACAGCCATCACCTTCTGGAGCCTATTCAGCGCCGTTGTGCACTGGATCCGGCCCAGGTTTCAGCTCCTCTGCCCCGCCATCACCTGCTGCAGCCTGTGGCGCGCTGCTGCGGGCTGGCTCGGATCCAGGAATGAGCTCCCCTGTCCCGCTGGAAGGGTTTCAAACACCGACATCCTCTGCTGGAGACCGTGGTGCGCCGCTGCGCCCGCATTGTTTATTCTGTTTTGTTACCTGTACTTGTCTTGCAATGTGAAACACTTGGTCTCAGATTTTGTAAGAAAAAGAATAAAATTTCCCCCCAAAATGCAACTTATAGTCCAGTGCGACTTATATATGTTTTTTTTTCTTCTTCATAATACATTTTATGGCTGGTGCGACTTATACTCCGGAGCGACTTACAGTCTGGAAAATACGGTACGTTAAAAATATTGAAAACTTGCTCAAAGCAAAATATATTTTCATTAAGAAAATAACTTATAAACTTACCGATTTAATACTTTTATATTCACAGAAAGATAGTTTTCATTAAAAAGCGCCACAAACCTCCACACAAGCTCCGTGTGAGCTTCAGATCGTTGGTGTTCCACAGACTTAGCTCCGGTTGTAGCTAGGTAGCTAAAACAAACAAACAAAAAGGGTTAGGGTTAGCTCCCACCTCTGCGTTGGGTTAGCTTCAGGTTAGCTTGTACTTCAGTTCGGGTGTCGTCATTTGATCCCAGCCTTACAGCCCCACCCTCAGCTCCACCTCTCTTCCCTTATGTGGAATTGTCTGGGCTTGACATTACCTGTGACACAGTCAAAATGGTGGTGGTGGCCCCCTCCTATTTAACCTCAAAAACGTATTATTGGAGCCTATGGAAACCCATTGTCCATATATATATGTTGATGGTAGTGCCACAACCTTCCACCGAGTGACTCGTTTGACCTGGGATGGAGGGGGCAAGTCATATGAGTGGACCAGCTTTGGAAGAACCGAGTGATTTGTTCATGCTACAATTCACCGGGCATACAAACTACCAGAGTCCCAAAAAGAAAAGCAACATTTGACATCACGGACAACAAGAGGTGTTTAGATCTAGAAAACCATGGCTGATGTCTAGCACCATCTCGTTTCCTCCACCGTTGCTAGTTTTTGGTTCCGTCTCTGGGAATATACTTGAGGGGAGGGGCGAGCGATTGTTCCGTGTTTGCGTTCAAAACCTAGCTTGTTCTGTAAATTTGCTAAAGCAGCTTTAAAAGAAGAAACTAAAGATAGTTTGTACAGAAACTGTAGATGAACCTTTGGGGATTAAGTAGGCATCTGAAACACCAGGTTTAATGTTTGGTTTTAATTTAACAGTAGGCAACCCGAGAGATTACAGAGAACAGTGACGGCGGTTTGCTAGATTGGGGTTGCAGATCGCTGTCCGGATCTTTCTAATAAGCCTTGTGCTTATACTAAACCCTTTATCCCCTGTAGATTTCCTGATGTTGATGTAACAGATATCTGCTGGAGGCATGTGGGAGCCAAAAGAATTACTGACAGAGAAATAATGCAAATAAGTTGAAGGGAGTCCTGAAGCCAATTCCGTCTACTAATGAAAACTCACCTCCCTGGAGACACCCC